ACTAGATCAGGTCGTAATACAAAAAGAAATAATCTCTTGTTTATATATTCATGTCGAAGTATCAAAATATTTATCAAAACAAAATGGTTAGTAGTGTTCTTACTTGAGATTAGGAGGCTCATCTTGAGAATAATATGAGCTGTGCACTTGAAATTTGTTCAAAATGAAACTGATGATGTTGTCATTTGAATGAATGAAGAAGAACTCTCGGCTTCCTCTAGAGCGGTTTCGCATGTCAAATTCATCACAGTACGCAAAGAATCTAGATATAAGGAATGAAAAACATAATAGACGAATTTAAAATCGAAAGTGATCGATTATAATGACCATACTTTTTTCGAGAGAGAATGGATCTTCCAAGAGCATTGTTGATAGCATGTAGTCTACATGTATGATTAGTTTCTTGTTTCTCAAAAAAAATACACTTCCCATGTTCCATCTTGTTCTTAGTTTTATTGTTCTTTTTGCTATACGCCATTTTCTGACAGATCGTTTCTAGAACCTAAAGGTAAAAGTTTTCACTTAAATAAATTTCTAGCCTACATTCGAAAAAAACTGGAGTTCAGTTTGCATACAATATTCATTTGGCGTGATATTAGCAAAACTTATACATGTATCGCACTGAAGAATCAGTCAATGAAACGACTTCTCACTTTACGCGTATACGATAAGTACAGCGCAGACTTTCATCAAGATCATAAGTAGACTGAAGCAAACCTTTTTTAGCTGTTACACAAAAATTATCATGAGAAAAAAAGACTTTGCACGAATGTGCACAGGCAAAAAGAAAAAGATCACATGGCCGTCATAAACATATTTTTAGACTCATTGAATGAATTTCAACATCTGAACGAACGAAATCTTTCTCTAGTTCTCAAGATTTTCTCTCAAATGCAAAATTAAATTCTTTTATGGTATTTTACATGAACAACATAAATTCGAGATCGACATTGGACGACTTCGCGCAGATAAAAAATTGAAAAAAGAAAAAAAACTGTGCGAATCTTGATGCATGATTGAAAAGAATTGCACAATTTTATGATGTACATAAGCACTTTAATTCGTTAAAATAAACTTTACCTCATATTACTCTAACAGACTGTAAGAGAACAAAACGTAAGGATACAATGTAATTGAAATGCGTTGTGTGGCACAAATAGTAACGAACGAAATGTGCTTTACCGAAATAATTGGTCACCAGAAACGTCTGACGCACAAGATAGTTAAACTTATGCAAGTTTATTTCGAAATACCTTCTTTGCTCATTTTTTATGTGCTTTATATCATAAAGAAGAACAAAAACAAAACTTTAGATTTGTTTCGTTGTGCACATGGCACAAAAAAACCTACGTGTAATTTGTTTTTTTTTCTTTATGTGCATCAATTTTCTTCTTTTAGTTCTGTTCTTTAAGTTAGTCGTGATTTCTTGTATCTTTTTGAAGTTCCGAGATATTTTCAATTATTATTATCATGAAAGTATGGTATCTTTTATAAGTTTAACTTAATGACATCTCAAAATGAATCAATTAATTGTTGAAGTAATTTTTCCGGAGAATCTGTTCTCAAAACATTATTGTACTAAAGAGACTGTCATACAAACTCATTGACATTAAATAATTCCTCAGTGTATCATTTCTCTGTCAGTGGATACATTCTAAATACCCATATTTCTCTTGACATTTCGCTGCATCTAACTTCCTAACATGAATTAATTCCTCAGTGGATCGACTCTGTTCCCAGTGAATTCGTTCTAAACATGGCAGGATCAAGCTATATTGATCATCACTGTTCAAAAGTATTTATAGCGAACTAGCAGCACAGAATGGCTCAGTGGTTAGAGCGGTGACTACTCAGTTCCTACATGTAAAATTCGAATTCTTATTCAGCCCTTTCTTTTGTTTCTACTTCGGATTTTCTTTCGATCGATACGCCATAAAAAGTACCTATTACAATTCTTACTGAAAATCCTATCACATAATAATACATAGTTGCATTCTAGCGAACTAATTACGAACATATGATTCTCAGGTTGTTAGTCTTCTGTTAACTTAAAATAAATTTAAATTACCGATAATTTAAATCTAAACTAAATCAAATAGTTGACGATTAATATTTATTTTTAATTTAACTTTCTCATAATTTAATTTACGCATAAACTAAGTTGTAAATAGATATAAATTGGTATCCCTATAGTACTCTGTCATCAGCCTTATCATATAAATCTCTCACAGTGACATTCTCAGCAACAGCCTCAAGTCCCAAGAAATTTCGAAAATATAAGCCTTGCAGACTGCTGCAAAGTTGCCTATATAAAATATAATACTATCCAAAGATAGAAGAATTGGTATTTTTCATCGTATTTAATTATGTTTTTATTTTCTAGTTGAACTAAAGGTTTGAGCTTTTGTGAATATCAAGAAGCTTCACATGAACAAAATGTCTCAAGTATGTTTCTTAATAAATGTTTAGATATTATGAATGTTTTTTCTTATAGATGTATTGATATTTATTTGGCTCATTGAGATTTGAATGATATTTGGCGAGTGGAAAGACAATATTTTAAAGAAATAAATCGATTGATTTCTTAGATCGAAGATTTGGGTACTGATAATCATGAAAAACAGTATCCAGCACAATGGACATGATATCATTGTATAGAAGTTCTGGTAAGCCATCGAAAATGAATTGAGCACATAGTTATTATCTTCTTTATTGAAGAATGGCCAAAGAAAAATTAAAATCTATCAAATAGAATCAAGTGAAACAGAGATATTAATCTTTGTTTGTTGTTTTGTTAGCGTCGGAAAATTCTAAAGATAATTTCTCCTTCTAAAACGTTGTACTATAATAAGTACGATCGATCATCTATAGGAAAAAAATTCATTGAGCTGAGAAACTAATTTTTTGAGTGGCTCATTATGTAGTATTGACATCTAGGTAGTTATAGTACTGCTAATTCATGATACATTGAACAATGAAGAGGCTTTTAGAATAATGAAGTATGAGAAAACATTAAGGTACAAATGATGATACACAACTGCTGTCATTCACAAGGATTTAAGAGAGAGAAAATTATACGATAAAATTCAACTTTGACTTCATTGTTATTAATAGCTCTCGAATCAATTGTAAATCATTTGCCTACTAATATAGTCTTTAGAAATCATCATTTTGCATAGTCTGCAATAAACACTGTTGAAAGTTCTTGTAGAATTCATGTGAATGAAGAGCATAGCATAGGAAAATTCCACGATGAAATTGTATCATACATTTGTAATGCTGAATCGGTGAAAAGATACACTTGCACGATTTCGTATTAACTTCTAGTAGCTTAAAAAAGAGCTGCGTTTGAAAAACGAAAAGTAAAAATTCAATCATGGGTCGGTAAGATTCATGTTGTTTCGGTTTCTCTCTTCTTTATATCATATTTACTAATTTTATAAATAACTTCTCGAACTCATGTATGGCATTACGTACCTGTAGTATTTTTCATAAATTCATCAGAAAACATGACATATTTTATCTAGCTTCTACTTAAAATTACTTTGCTTTTAAAATGAGTTCCATCCTTTTCTCATATTGTCTGACTTAAAACAATAAAACATTCACTGAATGAACCAGACAAGACTGACAATGTGCAGAAGTTGAATATACGATATCACTTCGAGTATCCTCCTAATTCATTAAGACTTACCTTTAAGTATACACTGCAACTCTGTTGCTTCAATATTGACTTAGAATGTACTATTTTCGTATTCGATAGATCCTAAGAACAAAGGATTAGCTTCATTTCTTCACAATTTAAGTGTATAATGATATTTAGGTGACATTTTTAAAATGTTACAAGTAAGAAAGTTTCATCGTATTTGAAAGCAAACGCCTGGTAGCAATGCAGATGGGTCTGGTTGTAGAGAAGAAAACTGAACACATTGACATCGACCCATATGCATACCCTGACGTAGAGTTCTGCTTATAATTAGCTTCTCATATTATCATAAAAAACATACAACTCTAAAATAATGAAATAGCATGCGAGATCAATGAAAGTTGGAGTAGAACAATCTTTTCAAAAAAAAAATACGAAAAATCAACTAAAATATCACTATATCCGCAATATTATCGTTGCACACATCGATTAATGTTATAAGATCGTTGTAAATAACAATATGATGTATGTATACAGAAAGATAAAATCAACTGTAGGTTTTCCTTTTCTCCTAAACATATATGAGAATTTCTTTAAAACAGAGTTTTAAACTATAGTATGAATAAAACTGTGTCGTTTGCTTTTTTACCATAGTGATATGACAGCCTTGTTTCAGTTTGAAAATATAGGAATTCGAAAACATTTTATCTTTTGCTTTTTTCGTAAAAAGGGAGGTGTGTGTTGGAAATTTTCATTTATATTCAAACTCGCATTAGCCAACTACTCGGTAGAACGTCATATCTGAACTGACCGGGTGCCGGGTACCAGACGGGGTTTCAGGACGTTAATCCTCAGTGTTATATCTCTGCATACTAGTTCATTTTCGCTTTCGACCAAAGTAGGATTCACCGCAAAGAAGCAATAATTCTTCTATTTAATCGACTGCACAAGTAAATAGATCTTAAAGCTACGTAAGAATTTCTGCTTCATAATTTTACTGTCAATAGAGACGCAAAAAGTAAAAGTTTTTTTTTTTTTGTAAATCATGTTTGAGCATAAGACATATTGTCTTGAGGTGTTAATCATTGAAATGATTATGGGTTAGTGAACAATAATGACATTCTTCTGCGCTGGTCGCTATTTTTCACTAGTGCGAGAGACAGAGATTATTGAACATTAAACAAGAAGGGATGAGTCTACACTTGAAACAGTAATAAAAATGATGAGCCTTAGTATATTCGATAGAAGAGATCGACGAAATTTGTTGTTTTCTAAAAGTAACATTTTGACGTTCGAAAGAAAATTCTTTCTCGAATTTCAATGAATATAATCATAAGAAATACAATGTTTGCTTTTAATCACTATTATCACACGAAGAAGTATTAAAAAGAAATTTTTGTACTCTATTATTACCACTATCGGCGACATATAAATTCCAATATTTATCGAATTTAATACCTCTTGGTGCATCAAGTTGATTCGCTTCATCACCAAAACCACCGATTCCAGCAATAACAGATTGAGCTTCTTGTTCATATGGTATCCATTTGAAAACGTGATTAGCAGAGAAACTCGATATAAACATTACCATTCGATCTGCTGTTGATTGCAAAAGAATTGAAACTGGAGAATCTAACTGATCGTCATTGGCAGCTACAGTTATTCCTTCATTCGCACCATTAAGCCATTTTTGAATTCGATGATTTTGTAAATCACAAATATAAATTGCACCAATTTCATTGATTTCATCAACATAAATGCCATATGGAGTATTCAATTGATTTAATTCAGGTCCTTGTCCTTTTCCACCAGCTACGACAATACCAGATGTTGAATTTGGATAGTATTTGATAACTTGATGATTACCAGTATCTGAAATATATACAGTGTTATTTTTATCAACATAAAGGCATGGTTGACCGTCGAAAACGAAGTGATTCACTATGCTGCCTGAAATATTACTTCCATCAATTATTGTTATTAATTCACCATTAGAACTCAATATCCTAACTTCATCACCAAATGCATCTGTAACATAGATATTATCGTACTTGTCGATAAATATACTAGGTGCTTTGATGTCTGTTAACAGTGTCATATTTGTTCCATTAGTGAAATACTTTTGTAAACGATGGTTTTCAGTATCGGCAACGATAATATTATCTCGACTGTCAATAGCAATATCATGTGGACTATCTAGGTCTGAAGTAATTGTAATCCCAGTTGAACTCCATTCAGCAGAAGCACAAGGCATTTGAGGAGTAGAACCCAAAGTCGAACTCGAAGTTGGAGCCATCGTTGAAGTCGAAATCGTCATTGAAGACGAAGTCATTGTTGCAGTAGATGTCATTGTTGAAGTAGTAGCCCTCGTTGAAGTAGTAGCCATCGTTAAAGTCGAGGTCATTGTTAAAATAGTGGTCATTGTTGCAGTAGACGCTATTGTTGAAGTAGTAGCCATCATTGAAGTCGATGTCGATGTGGTTGATGGCGATGCTGCTGTGAAACAGAAAGAAAACGAACTTTCACTTTTATTTCTTCATTTTACAAAGTTATGAATGCAGGAGATCAGTATAAGAAGAGAACTGACCTATTGGACGTTTTTGTTCTTTACATTTTACATAATAAATTATGAAGGTGATTGCGATAGCCGCTAATATGAGAGCCACGAGAATGATTAAATAGTATTTTATTTTACGGTTTTTCAACATTGAAAATCGTCGCTCTTTCCATAATTCGGCGTGTTTTTGATTTTCTTCGTTGATTGTGAGCCGAGTCTGATTACGTTCTTCAGTAGTAGTCGAATTGGCTGCCCGATGTGCAAGGGGATTGGTAAAGCTAAATGTCTTTTTATATTGAAAAGCTTTGTTGCTAGAAGATGTTTGTTGAGATTTTGCAAACATAGCTTCATTATCCGCTATTTCAAATGGCACAATATTGTCAGAATTCGATGAACATCGTAACTAAACAGAAAGTGAGCGTTTTTCTAGCAATCTCTATAATTTAGTTTTAGTCAATGAAAGTTTACCTGATGTTCTTTTATGCTGCTAAATTGTTGTGTTAATCCACAGTAACGACAGAGAACATCTAACGCTTCGAAATTTTGACACTTGTCAGCTAAGACAAAATGAAAGAAATGAGATTGGTCATATCATAGTTAGAAATTTTACAGTTCTATCATTACTAACCATTTGCATTAGCATCAGCAATGGATACACTTGGTAGTATATTACTTTGTGCCTGTTGTTGTTTAAAAGCTTCGACAGCATCCTTAATTGCACAATTTGGAGTTAATCGATTGATACTTAAAAATTTCTTTGTAATTGGGCTTGTACTATGTTGAGTAATCCATTCAGTTATTGCTTTCCTTTCATATGTATGACCATCTTCAGCTGTAACTGGTTCATTGAATAATTGCAATGTTAATGGACAAATTAAATATTGTTGTGTGTCTACAGAGGACATTTTAATGTCTTTTGGTCATCAAAAAATAGCGATTATACAAAGAAATATGTAAAGACACATCTCTTATCTCTTATCTCTTACCTCTTACATGTTGTTTAGTCGATTTCGTTCTTTTTTCTCTTGTAGTTATTGTTAGAGTTCTATCTCTCTAATTTTGAGGACATATATATTGTACGGCAGAGACAGTGACAACCTTTCATTTACCCATGCGCGAGTCTAATACATTGAGAAATCTTTATCGAATATCCACGATGATATACTCAGATGATTTTATAATCTAATTATATACATATTCGTTATGAAAAAAAGGAGCGTAGGACGAGACTGAGAGCGTGTTCAGCTAAAATTTTTTTAATTTTGTTTGCACATTGCAGTTTTCATTTCTGCCGTTGCCTCAGAAATACATGAAAAGTGTTTTCTCAAAGATAGATTACGATATATGAGGAGCATATGAAGCACTATTGCCTGCATTATACTTTCAACTGCTTCATATATTTTTCGTCCAATGAACAAACATCAATTTGAGTCTATTGGTGGATTTCGTCAACATTCAAACTCATCACCAGTCATGTAAGACCATTTTCTATCAGAGCTTCTGCTAGATTCTCTTTTAACATTGGCATACTTCTTGCAATTTCAAGTAAGAATTGAAAAATTAGTCTTTCTAGAACATCTCGATATAACATTAATTTGCATCATTAAAAGCCTTTGTCTAACATATGCGACTAGACTTGGAAAGGTTCTTTGACCAAGATGCGCGGTGTGGTTTTGTATGTGAGCATGAATGTGGATAGTATGAGGCTATAGATATGCATCAAAAGACTACTTACACCTACACCCTTCGACTAGTTTTGAAAAAATATTAGTTCGTGTCATTTACAAGTTTCAGTGATTTTTATTTTTATTATTTTACTGAGTAATACTCACCTTCATTCATTTATTGATAATGAGCAGTTTTTTCTCAATATTTTATTTCAAAATATGACGACAACTATCGACACTTAAAAATCAATCAGTGAAGACAAGAAGTAAATTAAAATGGCTAGTCCTGCAGCAATAAGGATCCAAGCACAGCATCCTATTATTCTCGCCCTTTGAAGTCTGCCCTGAACATATTTGGGACCGTTTCCATTTGGAAATGGAATATCTTGTGGAATCGGTACGTTCAGAAATCGACAGAGAGGAGGCCATCCTTCTTTCACATTAAATACGAGTAACTCGTCTGATTTATTTTCCTTTATCACCCGAGCATTATGTAATTCATGAATATGGGATCCTATGCTGCCATATTCAGTTATCCATTTCTGAGCCATTTTCCTGGCAACTCTGCATAACCAACGTAAGTTTCGAAGAGGATAAATGGTAATAAAGAAGAAATTATCTAACCATATAGGCGCAATCGAATTCTTGAAACATTCAAACCATTGCTCATTTGTATCCCGTACTGTAAGTATTAGTTTTGCTTGAGGATAAAGTTGATGAAGTTCTTTGTAAAATAAGGCCGTTGGAACATCAACTGATGATCGGTATCCTTTCAGCAATTCGCGAAAATCTGCCTCATAACCATCGAATATCCGCAGAAATATTTCACCTTGTTCTGGTTTTTTCAGTAATTCGGTCATATGATGACATGGACCAAAACCAAGTATTTCTAGAGCAGTCTTCAACGAAGACGTACCTGTCCGTGGTAATCCAGCTCCAATAACGCGCAGATTATTAGTATGATCGGCAGCATTTTTTCGTCGGTGAACATTACTGTCTCCGAATAGTAATTCAGTCATTTCAGTAGAATCTCCTGAAGTAAACAAGAAAAGTGCAAAACAAAGTAGATTAGGTGAAAAAGAAATAAAACATCACAAGTATTTTTGAATCTATAACATGAGTGGTCATAGAATAAATACTATCGAAGGAATGCAGAAAATAACAGCGAGAAAAAAAAAGTAAAAAATACAAACACACGTGTCAGAGAGCTGATGGTAATGCTTTGGTTTGTTTCTTTCTGTAGAAATAATGTCAATAAACGACAACAAATGTAGGTGTGAAATGAAAATCTACACCACTACACATACCCACACCAGTTGCACACTTCAATCAGAGTAATAACTATAACACTTAGCATAGAAAAGTCTCTCTTTATTGTTTTAAAATGTGTTGGCTTAGACTGGATATGTGTTTAAGATTGAATTACAACTCAGAACGAGGGTGTGGGTGCGGGTAGCTATAAGTAAAGGAAAGCTCGCACTCACCCCAATACTGATTGTATTCATCTATGCATTCGCTTATGAGACGAATAACAATCATCAATTAATTTTAGATTCATCTAAAGCTATTCATGCTGTCTTTGATAACAAAGCAGATCTTTTTCGGACAATCCAAAATGATACTCATGTGTGTACGAACGACATCCTTTGTACTAGTATTTTTGCGTTACCCGCTGAAGAAGAATCAAACAAGAAACGTGTCTTTTTTGATGTCATTTACTAATCGAAAGTGTACTTTGTTCGAGAGTTTTTCAGTCAACAGCATTCCAAAGGTGATCATCGACGACAGAATTCAATTACAACATCAACTCGAGCTTAGCTTTAATGAGCAAGTACCTGAGGCAGTATCGACGATATATCATAGACAACAAATGTCTAGTTTAGAACTAGAAAAATTTACAAGCAATATATGTAAACATATTTCAATGAATCAATATTTATCAACAGTGAAAATAAAAGAAATAGCTCTAAAGTATGCCGACGGAGCAACAAACATACTATTAGAAACTAGTGTTGATAATGATGCATTGATGAAAAATAAATGGATACGACCGGTCTGTATACAGCAGTTTAGTCAGTTTCTAAAAGAGTCAGAAGTTATATTTTCTATGGGTTCTACACTCTTCGTTTCGTCACTATTGAAAGAAAACTCTCGATGGCATATTAAGCTAAGGCAAAGGAATTACGATTATCATGAACGGCTAGCTTGTCTTCAAACATAATTTAGAAATATTCCCCAAAAATCGGTACTCTCTATCGATTATGGCATTCTATGATATGCATATAATTTGATGGGACAAGTTAGGACTAAAAAAAGATGCTTATCATTGTGCATTATCTTGGTTCGAAAAAGCGCTAGACATAGTTTCACTAAATAGCATGTTTTTCTCAACAGTATATGCTCGCATTGCAGATGTTTACTTCATAGAGATAAAACAATTATTGCTCTATAATTACCTATCTAACTATGTGCAATTTTGATGATGTTTTGAAGTATTTGAACAAAAAATTTCGTGTACACCGCTTGAATTCATCTAATCAGTTCAGTTATACTAAAACATATATTTTTCTTGCTAGGGTTTAAAAACCATCCATGATTTATTTTATAATCTCATAAGATTGTTCTAATGTACTCATAACATAATGATAATAAATTAACTTTGATTAATAGCCACAAAACTCTGAATATTGTGAGCAAGGACGATTTTAAGAACAATCTAAATCCAATATGGAGTATTCCCATGTAAAAAAATTAGGGGTAAAATCAGATTAAAATCGATTAAAAAATGATTAAAAATCGATTAAAATCATACACCTTTTAATCCATTTTTAATCAAAAATAATCAAAAAAATCAAAATTTCATACATAATTTTGATTAATTCTGATTAATTTCGATTATAATCGATTAAAATTTGTTGAGAAAAATCGATTTTAATTGGTGCAAATCGATGAAAATCAGCTGAAGATTTTTTTATGCATCATGAACAAAAATCAATTAAAATCGATTTTTCTCAACAAATTTTAATCGATTATAATCGAAATTAATCAGAATTAATCAAAATTATGTATGAAATTTTGATTTTTTTGATTATTTTTGATTAAAAATGGATTAAAAGGTGTATGATTTTAATCGATTTTTAATCATTTTTTAATCGATTTTAATCTGATTTTACCCCTAATTTTTTTTACATGGGAACATGTTTAATACAATTACATCTAAGGTATGAAAAAAATTCTCAAAAATTTTCTATCGATTTATCTTTGCAACTACTTCAGCAATTTCAACAAATACTCATCTTAAAGAACATTTAAAAGCCTACTTATTATGTAAAAATAAAGGTTCAAACTCATATGGAAAGAAGGAGACAAAGCAAGTTTACGGCATGCGGTTGTGGTTAAGATTTTATAAAAGTCAAGCAAACCATCGTTTTCCACATTCTTTTTAATGAATCCACAATACTCGAATAAATTGTGGTCGAATAAGATTTTTTTTTCTACGATTTCTTATATAGATTACAAATTACTTGCGTCAGTATTTCTCGTTTTCTCTCGTTTCATTTCATTAACAAATATGTGACAGACATAAATCATAGAATATTTGAAAGGGGAAAAAATTTCCTATCAACTCATTAAAAGTTATCAAAGAAATATGGAGATCAGAATTTTACACCAGTTTTGTGTATCTCACAAAAAGTGCGAATTCTTGTTTAAGAATACTTTTCTTTTCCATTGCATTGCTTTATTTATGAACGTGTTATAAAAATAAATTTTATATGATTGGAAAGAGAAGAAAAAGCTCTATGGTTTATTTACAAAAGTTCTTTTACCATTCTTTTATTCAAGAGAAATAGAGATTCACATTTTGTGGCATTATGTTTGAATATATACATTATTAAAAGTTTTCTGAAAAACGTTTAATGATATTGTTAAATTTATATCTCTTGTTTCTTAAATTAGAACCTTTAGTTTTCTACAATACATTTATATTTAAATACTCTTTAAAATCATTTTTCCTTTGTTGAAATTACTTGAGCGGTTACAAACATATACCCATAAGAAAAGTTATTTATGAGAAGTTTTTTCTGCATACGAGTTTTCAGATTTTAAGATCATGTAATTTAACAGAATGATGTACTGCTGTATCATTCCACATTCAAAATTATATCGTCATCAGTTGCTGTTTGTTTTATTTTCAGTTGAACTTCAAATAATGACTTTGCTATTTATTATTGAAAAAT